GGGTGGTGCATGTTGCAACCCCAAGAGGTCCCCAGAACCCCTGGTAAGGCTTCCGGGGTCAGTCCAGGTGCTGGCCCTAGTCTCCTGTACCCCACCTGGGGCAATTTGCCATGCTCCAGAGCACACATGCAGAGGCATTCCCTGGGGACAAATAGCAGTGGAACAACTATGTGCTGCTGCTATTTGCCCCTAGGGAAATGCATGTGCACACTCATCTGGATGCACCCTACGTGAATTAAATCAGCCAGATTTTTAGCATTAATACTGAAAAAGTTAAACTTTTGTCACGTAATAACCAAAAGTCCCTCAACGTGACTGATAAAAAGCTTAAAACCTAGGTTTCAAGTGCCCTAACACAAACTTCACTGCCTAATGACAACAGGCACCAAAAAAAAATGATCTACACTTGACCATGGGATGAACAATGTCTTCCCCTACCCCAAGTAGACTTTAGAGGTTAAATTCTCTTCTCTGACCTACATTGAAAGCTAATCCGCGCTTTCTACATATGTGAAACTCTCATTGGGAAGGGCTCCAGATATTTATTGATTCAGAGGGTGGAATCCAGACTTCTTTGAAGTCAGTGGCAAAACTCGAATTGACTTCAATGGAGTCAGGAGGTCACTCATAGATTTTAAGTCCAGAAAGAGTCCTATAATCATCTCATCTGCCTTTTTGCAAGCTGACATTTTTGCATGACAGGCCACAGGTGTTCATCCTACAGTACTGAGCCTGGGACCTTGTTGTTGAACTATAATGGAGCTTTAAAAATGGGATCTGATTGTGATTTAATGATGGGAAATCCATTGCATTCTTTGGAGATCTGCTCCAATAGTCAATTATCCTCCCAGTTAAAAATGTGTGCCTTATTTGCAGTTTGAATATTTCTAGTTTCAGTTTCCAGGCATCAGAGAGGAGAATTCAGCCAATGCATCTGACACACATCTCCTGTTCAATACAGAACAAAGTTTGCCTTCAAAGAAAACTTTTCCATTTCCTCCTCTAACAGGGATTTGTTCTGAAAAGACAGGGCAAGGTGCAGTCCACACAGAACTTACTAGACTTGTAGCCTGCCTCCTCCTCTTCCTTAAACCTTGCGTTGTATTTCATGTCAATCTGTCTCTTTTAGCTGGTTCTGATGCATTTTTGCAGCAACAGTGGCACTACAAAGCCTGATGTTCTCTTTAAGATTTCAGATGCTTTAATCAAACGTGTTCAGGTGTCTCAGGAACAGTGGGTCAAAGGAGCCTTGGAACCAAAAGTATCTGCTGAGTTTGACCTGACTCTGGATAGTGAACCTTTACTGCAGTCAATACACCAGCTGGATTTTATTCAGATGAAATGTAGGGGTGAGCTTTCATGATTTGATTTTCTCCTTATGTTTCTCATGTGTGTTTTGAAATGGTACGAGAAAGAGGGAGGTCGAGGAAAGGGGAAAGAGATAGAAAGAAATGTTATTACTTGAAATTCATGGAGAGTTTTTTTCCCCCTTTGTTTGTTTAAAAAAAATATCTTAAACATATTACCATTTCTTTCCCAAGGGAAGTGTGCACCTCATCTTCAGGAACACGAAGAACGTCAGGCAATGGTATTAGGTGAAGTTAACTATCTAAAAAGATAAGTGCATCAAAGTGAGACAGCCTGTCAGTGTGAAGGGGATCGGTAAAATGAAAAGAACTTTGGTCCATTCTATAACATTAAGAGATGTAACACAATGTATACAAGATATATGTCAGTGGCAAAAATATATCTGTAAGTGAGGAGAAACCACTGTGACATTTACACTCAATGGGGACACTGCAGCTGGCCCAGTCCAAGAGAAAAATTTTGGGAGGCAGGCATAGAGAATCATCAGTGGAAGGTCATTCTTTGGTGGATTTCCTTAACATTAGATATCTGGATGAGCCCGAAATTACCTGCCATTAGGTCAATTGCAAAAACCCATCTTTTTATGCAAGGGCTCCTTCAGTAACCATGGGAAAAGAAGAGCCAAGTGTTGTCTTGGGACCAGAAAGGAGGGGGAGAAATGAACAGGCCTCCAAATAAAGTTACTGAAAGCACGGACCAGTGTAGGAGAGGTAGAAAAATATAATCTATATATATATGCAGGATGAGGGACATATCAAAATGTATGTATGGACAGAAAGATAGACATTCTCTAAGGTCTTCATCCAAAGCCCATTAGGTCAATAGTCTTTCCATTGTGTTCAATGGGTATGTGGATGACTGGGAAGAGTCCACCCGTAAACATTGGATGAGTTAAAGATATAATGGTGTTCTTTTTCCTGACTGCATTGTAGCAGTTCATAAAATGAGGGTTCCTGCTCAGCCAGACTTTGTCTGTTCCCTGTAGGCTTAATTCTGAACTCAATAAGCACAAGATAAAGTAATTAGAGTGGCTAACTTGACAGATTTCCTTGGAGAAACAAATGGATAAATAGTTAAAGGCCAAAGTCTGCTCAGCAAGAAGGGATTGCATCTTAGTATAAATGAGTTATAATGTATTAGTGAGACCACTCTGAGAACATCTGCAAACTGCCCTTTAAAATTTTAATATCCAGAAAAACAGCAGCAAGAGCAGAAGGCATGAGATTTAAAGTATAACTGATAACGCTTTTCTGCATGTTATCTGTAGAGTAGTTGGTTATCAACTCAAAGAGACTTAAATCAGGTTAGATTTAGTACTGGATTATAGTCCTTTTCAGAATAGCTAATCATATATTTAATTTAGGCCCCAGACAGACATGTTCATACTGTTACCTGCAGCATTATACTGATGATCCATACTTCTAACCTAGGGTAACTTCACCCAATCCAGGGGATAATTTATCTTGAAATGGAATAAAATGCCACCAGTGTCAGTTACACTGGTTTACATCTCATCCATCTGTCCCGACAAAGCCATTCACTGAAAGAAAATAGGCTATTACCTGCTCTCCTGCCACCTAGTGGCAACTCACAGTAACTCACAGCAATAGCCACCTACCGCAGGCCCCAAAATAGCTGCATATCTGTCTGTTTACAATGGTATACTAGAAGCAATGAATATTCCTATGGGGTATTTGTTCATCTTTCTTTGCCCTCAGTCACCCACTCAGTTCAATTGGCTAAGTAACCCACAGCTTATTGAAATATGAACATATTAGGTTTCTGGCTTCCAAGCACTCCTTTGTTTTTAACTTTAAAAGAAGAAGGATTTCCCTGGTGAACTGGATCCCTGCTACATGACACTTTTGGCTGTTCTTAGAGGGAGATAATGTGGCCCATTCATGTTCCTGTTTGTTATTCAGCCATAGTTGTCTTATGGTAGCATGCTGGATGCTATACAAGATGTAGAGAAACAAGGCAATTCAGTCTCTGCTCCAAAAAGCTTCAGGTCTGAGGGCTGTGAGGTCCTAGCCCAGAGCTGTGGGGTGCCATCTCAGGAGCATGCTAGGAAAAGTACTGTAGTTCAGGAAGCCACAGTTCTCTTTCTGCTCTTCTCTGGTTCTAGGCAGGATAGTAAGTTTGACTGACCTATGCTCACAGCCGATCACACCACCTCCTCTGAAGTGTAAGTCCATTTCACTAGCTAGTCCAGTAGGAAGAGAAAGCCAAGATGTGCCCATGTCCCATCCACCCACTTTGAAGGAAAGTAGTGGTCATGCTTGCCCTAGACACCTGAACAGAAGGACAGACAGCCTTTGTAGAGGCATGAGGAAGGTTCTTACTTCCCCTTAAGTGCAGGCAAGTAGTACAACAATAGTCTAGTCCTAAATAAATGCTAGGAAGATACAAATTGCTCCAGCTCCATCCTGGTTCCAGTCATTTCACTTGGCTGACAAAGACCTCATAAAGACATTCACTTTCTCCAGGGAAAGTTGCTGCTCTGCCACAAGTGTATAGATGTTCGGGCTTTTCCTCTCAGAGTAAAGATGGCCACTCCCGAGGAAAAATAACCTGGAAACAACCAGGGTTAAAACACTTCTAGGAGAGTTTCTCCTGAGACAGCAAATGTCTGCACGTGCTGTGGCTTCTCTCAGAAGAGAACATAGTCCTTCAGGATCCCCCCCCACCACCTCTCAGGGAGACAGTGTGTCACTCTCCGGACTCTTCTGCTCCAGCAGGGAGCAGAACATGCCCCTTTCACAATCCCCATATTGTGCTGCAGGGAAACACAGGCTGACCATGAACAACCTGGGCCAGCCAATCAGGGCTGCCCTATGCACTGCTGCCATCTGTCCCCAGGCAGACTAAAAAAGCCTACAGAACATGTTGAGATGTGTGC